CAGAGAAGAGCAACAAGAATGATTAAAGGTCTTGAGAAATGACCTATGAAGGAAGGCTGAAAGAATTGGGTTTGTTTAGTTTGGAAAAGAGAAGACTGAGAGGGGACATGATAGCAGTTTTCAGGTATCTAGAAGGGTGTCATAAAGAGGAGGGGGAAAACTTGTTTACCTTAGCCTCTAAGGATAGAACAAGAAGCAATGGGCTTAAACTGCAGCAAGAGAGGTTTAGGTTGGACATTAGGAAAAAGTTCCTAATTGTCAGGGTGGTTAAACACTGGAATAAACTGCCTAGGGAGGTTGTGGAATCTCCATCTCTGGAGATATTTAAGAGTAGGTTAGATAAATGTCTATCCAGGATGGTCCAGAAGACAGTATTTGGTCCTGCCATGCGGGCAGGGGACTGGACTCGATGATCTCTCGAGGTCCCTTCCAGTCCTAGAATCTATGAATTGGCCCTCCAGCAGTGAGAAGGGCTGGGAGCAGGTAGAATCCAATCAGGGCCCATCAGGGAAGGAAAAAAGGACTGGCCATTTCCTCTAAGGTGCAGTTCTGGGTGAACCTAGGAAAAAAAAGGAGGAATGATCTCCCTTGTCTTAATTCAAAAGCTCGGCCTGATCAGGGACCTAACTCTGACTACACCTTTTGATTGAGTCAGCAAAAGACTAGTTTGTTCTACTTTGTGTAATTTAAAGCCCAGGTGGCCATCTTGAGTTAGCTATCAATTGACTTTGGTAAAATTAAAAGGAACTCACTTCATGAGATGTGCCCTCGTTCAGATGAACCCATGACAAACAGTCTCAATTTGTCAGAAATTCAGAACTGTTTTTTTTTTTTTTTAAGCATTGAAAACATTTCTATTAGGTTTCACAAACTTATACTTTATGCCTAAGCTAAATTGACAGTGCCCCTTTAAGCACAGTTAGCTGGCTGGCATCAAAGTAAAAAAACAGATTATGACTTCAGTGACACAATTTACTGACAAACAAATCAACTTTTAATTTTATAATCCGAAAAAATGTTCAGACAGCTCAGTACTAAGCTATGTTGTTTCAAGGTACAGTATATTTTACTTGAATATAAAAAAATAAAAAACGGACTACTGAATCAGTAAAAAGAATGATTCACTATCAATTTTTAGCCTTCCTACATTTCTGGCTTTGTATATTACTATTGTTATAATGCAGAACAGTAACAGAAAAATAACTAAAGATTTTAAGACAGGATTTCCAGGACCTGGGGGATACTGTTAATGTTCTTACCTTGTATTCATGAAGTATCCTATTTGTCCAGTGAGGAGCCTTACTTTTTAGTTTGGTGATGGGTACTATGGATTTAAGATTTTCTTCACTAAAAAGAAAAAAGCCAAAATATTACCTAGTTTTCCATCACTGAGCAAAGTACTGGACACAAGGCAGTGTCTTCCAGCATGGCAATACTAATATCTTTAAGTATCAAATATTGGGATAGACTGTCAGCCCCAATTCAAGCTGCTCTATTGTCATCTCAGCAGCTGAAAAGCTTTCCTAAAGGGGCAGCCAAGGTTTCCCACTGACCAAGTGGAATCCTTAGCTTGTGTACAGCCAGTGTAGTTGACGCTACACTACCTGTTTCTACCTACCCTGCACTGTGGGTGGTGCAGGGGTGAGGGATTCTAGGAGTGGGATGGAGCGCATGATGCTCTGCCTGATCCTAGCCCAGTACAGTGGTTCCCATTAGTAGCTCTAAATTATGATGGGGGCCATTTCTGCTTACAGTCAGCATTTTCCCGCCCCATTTTTCTCAGTTGCATCAAGTATAAACTCAGCACAGCTGAGAATTTAGCCTGGTCTACACTATGAGTTTAATTCGAATTTAGCAGCGTTAAATCGAATTAACCCTGCACCCGTCCACACAACGAAGCAATTTATTTCGAAATAAAGGGCTCTTAAAATCGATTTCTGTACTCCTCCCCGACGAGCGGAGTAGCGCCAAAATCGATATTGTCATTTCGAATTAGGGTTAGTGTGGCTGCAATTCGATGGTATTGGCCTCTGGGAGCTATCCCACAGTGCACCATTGTAACTGCTCTGGACAGCAATCTGAACTCGGATGCACTGGCCAGGTAGACAGGAAAAGCCCCGCGAACATTTGAATTTCATTTCCTGTTTGCCCAGCACAGGAGAGCACAGGTGAGCACAGGTGACCACAGAGAGCTCATCAGCACAGATAACCATGCAGGCCGATAATCGAAAAAGAGCACCAGCATGGACTGTACGGGAGGTACTGGATCTGATCGCTATATGGGGAGAGGATTCAGTGCTAGCAGAACTTCGTTCGAAAAGACGAAATGCCAAAACTTTTGAAAAAATCTCCAAGGACATGATGGAGAGAGGCCACAATAGGGACTCAGAGCAGTGCCGCGTGAAAGTCAAGGAGCTCAGACAAGCCTATCAGAAAACAAAGGAGGCAAACGGTTGCTCCGGGTCAGAGCCACAGACATGCCACTTCTACGCTGAGCTGCATGCAATTCTAGGGGGGGCCGCCACCACTACCCCACCTCTGACCGTGGATTCCGAGGCGGGGGTAATCTCATCAGCCACACCTGAGGATTCTGCGGACGGGGAGGAGGAGGAGGAGCTTGCGGAGAGCACACAGCACTCCGTTCTCCCCAACATCCAGGATCTTTTTCTCAGCCTGACTGAAGTACCCTCCCAAGCCAGTACCCAAGACCATGACCTCATGGAAGGGACCTTAGGTGAGTTTACCTTTTAAAATATAAAACATGGTTTAAAAGCAAGCATTTTTTAATGATTAATTTGCCCTGAGGACTTGGGATGCATTCGCGGCCAGTACAGCTACTGGAAAAGTCTGTTAACGTGTCTGGGGATGGAGCGGAAATCCTCCAGGGACATCTCCATGAAGCTCTCCTGGAGGTACTCCAAAAGCCTTTGCAGAAGGTTTCTGGGCAGTGCAGCCTTATTCCGTCCTCCATGGTAGGACACTTGACCACGCCATGCTAGTAGCAAGTAATCTGGTATCATTGCATGACAAAGCCTGGCAGCGAATGGTCCCGGTGTTTGCTGGCATTCAAGCAACATCTGTTCTTTATCTCGCTGTGTAATCCTCAGGAGAGTGATATCGCTCATGGTAACCTGGTTGAAATATGGGAATTTAATTAAGGGGACAGAGGTGGCCCTTCCTACTGGGCTGTTTGCCTGTGGCTGAAAAGAAATCCTTCCCTGTAGTAAGCCAAGCGTGGGGG